ACCTAAGCTGAGCAATGTGAGGTCAATCTTTGAAACATATATGCCTCTGCATTTCAAACTGGGGATATCACCATCTCCTGTGCACTCTGACTCAGTGAACAGATATTAAAAAGTAATTTCCGCAAAGCACTTTGTATTCCTTGGAGAATGGATCTTATCATCATACATTATGTTATTATCTTGTTGACTATGCATGATTTCCAGTACCACATAAAGTATATCCAGACAAACTTTCCCATCTCATTCCATCATTTGGAGTCCAGCTGAGTGAAATTCAGGCTGTTGTATTATTTCAAGGGTCAAATACTCAGAGGCAAAATATAAGCTCCAAATAATATATAATGCTTTTAAAATGATAAATCATTGATGTGCTTACTAGAACTTCAACTTTTTTTTGAGTGAGATTTTTGCTACAGGGTGTGTGCATTCACCAGAGACAGAGAGACAGAAAGCGAGAAATCAATCCCCAGAGGGGATGGCCATGCTGCAATTCCTTCTTCATTTTTCTCTTGGGATCTTGGGCACACAAGCACATGTGCCTGGCATGAGTTTATTTTTGAATAGAGGTTTTTGCTATAGGGCTCGTGCACTTGCCAGAAAGACACAGAGAGTTAGAGAGACAGAAAGTGAAAAATCACACATACCCCCCCAGGGGGGGATGGCCACACCTCAATCCCTTCTCCTCCATTCTCCTCTCAGGATCTTGGGCACTCATGCACACGTGCCTGAGGTGAGTTTAAGCCGCCAGGTCCAGGACTCAAACTGCAGTTGACTACGTGAGAGTCCAGTGACATAATCATTATGCTATATGCTGATCCCAAACTTCAACTTTCTTACCTGTTCTGAGAACTCAACTCAGTCACTTAATTTTTTAACAACAAGTAATATTAGCTATATATTTAATATATTTAAAGTTTAATACACTTATAAATTCTAATAATATTTAGTTCTTGGGACCAGCAGATGGCATGATGGTTACATCGCTGGAATCCCATGTAATTGAGTGCAGTCTGAGTCCTGAACCTGGAGACTTAAACACACACCAGGCACGTGTGCGTGCCCAAGATCCCAAAAAGAAAATGGAGGAGAAGGGATTGTGGTGTGGCCATCCCACTTGGGGGGTGATTTCTTGCTTCTTGTCTCTCAGTCTCTCTAGCGAGCACATGTGTCCTATAGCAAAACTCTTTCTCTAAAAAAAAAAAATAGTTCTTTTTAATAAACTGATACAGAGTTCACATTCATTTGTACACATATTTTTAAAATGTATCTCTGAAAGGGAGAGGTATGGTTTTACATATGTAATATAAAATATTATTTGACACGTAGCTTTTTTTTTTTTTAATTTGCCAAAGAACATGTACAATTGCCAGGTGGAGGGGGAAAGAGAAAAAATGAGAAAGTATCTCCTATGAGGAATAGTCACACTGAAATCCTTCCCCCATTTCTCCCTCCTTGTGGGAATTTGGGCACACACGCTTGCCTGGTGTGTTTCTCAAGCCACCGAGTCCGGGACTCAAACCACACAGCGGGCCATGTAAGATCTAATCACCTTAACCACCATGCCATGGTTGGCCCTAAATTTTATTTATTTATTTTAATTTGCCAGAGGGCACTCATGCTTACCAGAGAGACAAAGAGAGAGAAAGAGAAAGAGAAGTATGGATGGGCATCACCCAACGGGACATAGTCATGCCACAATCTATTCTCCTCCACTTCTCCACCCTGTCAAGATCTTGGGCACACATGCACATGTGCCTATCCTGTTTTTCAAGTCATCAGGTACAGGATTTGGGATCTGGCCATTTGGGTTCCAGTTCCCTTAATCATAGAGATAGTACAACACTTAATTTTTATGTTATCCATAATTAATTATAACTAGCATTATATTCAGTGAAATTTTACTTGTGATATCTATCATATTTTGAAAAAGGAGAATATTATAATTAAAAGATTTTCTGGGCCAGCCAGTGGCATGGTGGTTAAGACAGCTGGGTCCCACATGGCTCACTGTGGTTAGAATCCTGGACCTGGAGGCTTAAGAAAAACAGTGTGTATGTGTACATGTCAAAATCCCAGAAGGGAAAGATGGAGGAGAAGGAGTGGCCTGACTCCCATATGGTGTGTGTGAGGGTGCTTTATCAGTCAACCCTGTCTCTCTCCAGCAAATGTGTGCATTCTCTTGTGAAAACATTTTAAAATCTTCTAATAATATGTTTTTTAACTTGCAAAATACGAATAGTAGTGAGTCAATGGTCCTTGAATGTTTCTGTCCTATGAGATACCCCCAAATTTTTATACCAATATTACCAGCCCTTAAATAGGCCAGCTCTGAACTAAGAACTTCAAGCAAAATGTAACCAGAGCTCATGTGCTGATGAAAAGGAGTTACAAATGAGATAGTTCAGGCAATAGTGAGGCAATTCTGTGAAAACTCTGTTCGGATGAAAAATACAGTGCATGTAATTTAAACAAAAAGTCAAGATTGGGTAACAGCATATTATCACAAAAGACTATAATGTATTGGGTTGTTGGAAAAGTCATGACATATTTTTCTGTTTTTCTATGCAAAAAATGTGTCATGACTTTGCCGACGGCCTGATAGTAACATGATTATTAATGATGGGGACATATCGTAAGTCATTGAATAAAGTAAGAATCCATGAATCCAAATCATACAAATATTTATGAATATGAAAATAATTAGGAGTAAAGAGGTAATATGTCTATAGTGTATTTTCAAATAATTCAGAAAATTAACTGTGAAGAAGGAAATGTGGCAAATGTTAACATTTAAGCAACCTAAGGAGTATATGGAATTTCTTTGTACTACTGGGACTTTTCTGAAATGATAGCAAATAAACTTTAAAAAACGAAGGGAATAATTATCAATAATATGTCTGCTATTTACAGATTACCTAGCATCAACCAGGCATTGTAATAAGCAATTTCCTCACTTAATCTTTAATCTTTACCACAATCCTGCAGGGTAAGTATTATCATCAATCCCATGTTTTTGTTTGTTTGTTTGTTTTTGGAGAGCTTTTTGCTATAGGGCGCACGCACTCGCCAGAAAGACAAGAAAGACAGAAAGACAGAAAGCGAGAAATCACCCCCCCGGGGGGATGGCCACACCGCAATCCCTTCTCCATTCTCCTCTCAGGATCTTGGGCACGCATGCACATGCGCCCGGCGTGAGTTTTAAGCCACCAGGTCTGGGACTTGAATCATGGTTGACTACATGGGAGTCCAGTGACATAGCCATTACGCTAACTGCTGGTCCCATCAATCCCATGTTTTTAAACAGGTAAGGAAAGCAAGGCTCTAAGAAGTTAAAGTAACCTCATCCAAGAAAAGATCTAATAAGTAGCACAGCTAAGTTTCAAACCAAATCACACCTAAAAGTTTGATAGTTTCTACAATGTGGTCAATACCATAATGATTTAGACCGAGCTTTAGTTCCAGAGTTAGAAAGATTCAGATTTGTGGGTCTGAATCCTCAGTACCATCTATTAGTCATGAGACCATAAGCAAATCATATACATTAATTTATTTCTTGTTTTGAACATAGTGCTTAATGATTAGTGTCTATCTCATGAGCTATTGATATGAATAAAAAAATAATGCACACAAAGCACTTTTTTTTTTTTTTTAAGAGGTTTTTGCTATAGGGCACATGTGCTCGTCAGGAAGCCAGAGACAGAGACAGAAAGTGAGAAATAAACCCCAGGGGGTACGGCCAAGATGCAATCCCTTCTCCTCCATTCTCCTCTCGGGATCTTGGGCACGCACGCACACGCGCCCAGCGTGAGTTTAAGCCACTGGGTCTGGGACTTGAACCGCGGTTGACTACATGGGAGTCCAGCGACATAGCCATTACGCCAACTGCTGGTCCCACACAAAGCACTTTAACACAGGACTAAGAAAAGTAAGAATACAAATGTTGTTCCCGTATATTTCATTCTACCTTCCCTAAAAAACAATGCTCTATACATTGCTTCATTCTAAAGCATAGATATCATATTTAGTTAATTTACTTTTTTACTGTCATAAAATAGATAAACCTAGAAAATTAGGCAGTTCAAGTGAACAAATAAATATTCCTTTACTTAAGCAAGAAATTAGTGTAATGTTACTACAGGTATATTATCTGCAGTACATTTTCTATAGCTGCTACAACAGAAATGAAGTCTACATAAATTATATAAATAAAACATTTAGACCAGCCCTGGTAGTGTACACTGCTAAGATGCTGCGTGGATTCCCTGCCCAACTTGAAAGATGGATGCGTGGTATGCTTGTAGTCCCTGTTACTGGGAAGCTGGGACAAGAAGATAAGCTTACGGCTGACCTGGGTGAGACTGTCTAAGAGTTGGCCATGGTAGTGCAAGCCTGTGGTCCCAGCTATTTGGGAAACTGAGGCACTAAGACTCTTATCTTAAAGACTTTTTTTTTTTTTTTTTTTTTTTTTTTAATTTTCTATAGGGCATGTGTGTTTGCTGGCGAGAGAAAAGAGAAAAGGGAAAGTGAGAAAGCCCCCTCTCCCCCCCGGGAGGATGGCCACACCACAATGCCTTCTCCGTTATTATCCTCAGGATTTTGGGCATGCACATGCCCAGCATGTTTCTCAAGCTGCTGGGTCTGGGACTTGAACTGTGGAGTTGGCCATGTAAAATTCAGCTGCCTTAACCACTATGTCACCTTGCTGGCCCTAAGCTTGTTTTCTATTAAAAAGTGAGAATAAAAAGATCAAGATTGAAAATACTAAATATAAATTAATTGAAAAAATTAACCTAGGTTAAACAGCCCAATTCTATTGGTAGTAACTGGAATGTTTTGTGCTTCAAATGTCTCTGATAAGATTGAAAATATAATTACCAACTAGTGAAATTCTCATCTTTAGGGAGGATCAATTGACTTTAACTGTAGTTACAGAATTATCCTGATCTGTTCTTTAAACTGAGGTGCAAATACCAACACAGTAAACAAAAAATTATTCCTACCTTATTGTTTCTTCTATCAGACGATCTGAGCTGCAAATAAAAAAATTTAAATTCTGGAATTATTAAATGTACATCTAAAACTTTTATATAATTCTCCCACATTTATAAATAAACGTTTCAGTCATATATGTATACCAAATACTTAGATGTTTGAAAGCATATGGAGAAAATTCAGGGTTCTGAAATAAATTTAACTTACCCATATACATGTAATTTTCATCTTACTTTTGTTAGCTTAAGCCTATATTTTCCACAGACATACTAGATAATTAAAGTCAGAACAGTTTTAATGACAGCATAAAGAAGTGAAATTTCTTCTTTAATCTAGATAGCTCTAAGTTGTCACCACCATCTACTCAAAACTTAGGAATTACTACTGACTTGTTGAGACAGGATAGGCAAATATAGTTCTGATGCCTATAAGTAGTAATTATTTATACCTCACAAGTCCCTTCCTTTCTTGGAAGACTTTCCTTTCCTTTTTTCCTTTCCTTTCTCCTTTCTCCTTTCCCTTCCTTCCTTCCTTCCTTCCTTCCTTCCTTCCTTCCTTCCTTCCTTCCTTTCTTTCTTTCTACTAAACCCAATCAAAGCTTACTAAACTTTAGATTCAAGAATCTGAGGGACCAGCAGTTAGCGTAATGGCTATGTCGCTGAACTCCCATGTAGTCAACCTTGGTTCGAGTCTCGGACCCGGCGCGTGTGTGTGCGTGCTCAAGATCCCGAGAGGAGAATGGAGAAGGGACTACGCCGTGGTCATCCCCTCTGGGGGGTGATTTCTCACTTTTTATCTCTCTGTCTTTCTGGCAAGCACACGCACCCTATAGTAAAAACCTCTCAAAAAAAAAAAAAAAGAATCTGAATAAAATGCACCTTGGAACTATAAACTGCTCTGATGTCACACATGAGATAAAAAGAAACAAACAAAAGCACCATTTTAGGGAGAAATGTATAGGTAGGTAACTTTGGTAAAGGGGTAGGACAGCTTTATAGGAGGAAGTAAGAAGACAACCTTCCAGATATCTGTATCATTTGGCACCATGCAAGGTACACAGTAGGCACTCAATACCTGCATTTCTCCCTACTACTTCTTTTTTCTTTAGTTGACTGTGTATTCATGCACACAAAGGGGACGGGGGGAAGGCATTCTCACTGGGGTGCGGTCATTTGGCAATCTTCTCCTCCACTTCTCCAGTCCATCAGGATATGGGGTATGCATGCCCAAGTGACAGGTTTTTTTTTTTTTTCTTCTTCAAATTTTGCTATAGGGCATGTGCATTTGCCAGAAAGATGGGGAGAGAAAGTGAGAAAGCACCGTAACCCTCACTGGGGATGACCACACCACAATCCCTTCTCCTCCATCCGCCTCTCAGAACTTTAGGCATACAAACACATGTGCCTAGTATGTTTCTTCAAGTCACCAGGACTGGGACTCAAACCACGCAGTCGGCTATGTGGTATCCAGCTGTCACAACTGGCATGTTTTTCAAGTTGATCAGCCGTGTGCAATCTTGATCCCAATGCACTGAGCTTGACCACTACAATATGGGTCTGGCCCTTTTCAACTACTACTTTTCAAAGTAATTTTAAAGTTTAATCCACAAAGTAACAAATTGAGGCCATTATAAAGGAATGGACTAGGAAATCTAAGTTATACTACATAAATTAGGGAACAAAGACAAGTTTTTAAAATGTCATAAACAATGTCTATAAATCCTGTGATCAAGAATTTCAGAAATCACAAAGATGGTAGTTAAAAGTCAGAATATGTGGCTATTTAAATGCTGATTCTACCACTTATTAGTTATCTGACATAAGGCAAGTTTTTCTGTGCCTCAGATTTTTCCTCTGTAAACTGGCAATGATAATAAAATCTACTTGTTCTGAGAACTCAGAGAGTTTATTTAGGGGCTGGAAGTTGGCATGGTGGTTGAGGTGGCTGGACTCCCACATGGCTGACTGGTTCGAGTCCTGGACTTGGACTTGACAGCATACTTTCTCACTTTCCTCCTTCTGTCTCTCTCTGGTCAACTTCAAAAAAAAAAAAAAAAAAAAAAAAGATAATGAATAAAATTTTAAAAAAATTAATTTATATATATGTAGGGATTAGGTCAGTGCATGGCACAAAGAAGACACTATACATATGTATGTATACATAGTAAATATGCATACTATGTATATATACATATATAAACAATAGTTTATCAAGAATTACAGACTGATCCTAAATCTAAACATTTAGTTGATACAAATTTCCAGACAAAATGTCTATTCTGACGAAATCTATCAATTAAGTATGCATTTATTCTTTTAACACGTGTACGGAAGAGCCACTGATTGGTAGGGTGAGAAAGGGTTTCAAAGACAAGGCACTACACCACCTTAGATCTTACAGTAGAGACAGACAACATACATGCCAACAAGCATCTTGCAAAGTGGCCACAGGTCACAAAAGAGGGAGTGATTAGTGGCAGTTAATACCTCCTTGTTCAACACAATGGTTAGGCTGACTGTCCCATCAGGGTCAGCTAGCATGCTAAAGGGCATAAAAATAAGATATTACAAATTCAGGCAGCATAGTAAGAAAATAAATAATTCCACGGCCAAGCTCAACAAACTAGCACTGTGCCAACAGCCACGATGAAGATAAAAATCAATGAAATAAATAACTAAATTAAGTGGAAAAGAGGAGCTAATCTATTAACTTGCTAATTTTGTTGAGAATAATGATAGCAAATACTTTCAGAGGTTTTTTGGTTTTGTTTTGTTTTTCCTTCTAATTGCCAGAAGGTATTTGTATTGCGGGAGAGAGAGGGAGGAAGGGAGGGAAAGGGAAAAAGCACACCTCACTGGGGTGTGGTCATGCTGCAACCTCTTCTCTGTTTCTCCATCCTGTTGGGATTTTTGGCACATAAGCACATATGTCTGGTGTGTTTTTCAAGCTGCCAGGGCCAAGATCCGTACTGTGGTTGACCATTGGGACTGGCTCCTTCAACCACCTGGCCATGGGGCTGGCTCTTGGAAAGCTTATGAGGAGATCCTGCCCTTTATAAATGCCTTGTCTTAATTTCACCTTTACAACACCTCCTAGAAAGGAGGAGCTTGTCCAAGGGTCTTACAGTTATCAACAGAACTAGGATTCCAACTCAAGCAGGCAGTATGATCGTCTCCTGAGATTCTGGCAGCAGCATACAGTAGCAACCTGTGAGCCATATAGTCACAAGGGTGGGTCAATAACCAGTTCTCTTCAGTGTACCAATATTATTGCCAGTAATATTTTGGATACTGTGTTTTGTGTTTTCACATCCCATCATGTCTACATAATGCCCATTTTAACTTAGGTTATTTTTAATTTGCAATGGGCTTATTGGGATGTAACCCCATGGTAAATTGAGAGGCATCTGAAGTGTTTCATAATATCACAACTTAGTTTTCCTGCTTTCTAACAACTTAAAATAGGATTTAGTAAAATATAAAAAGAATTATACACCATGACTATGTAAGATTTATTCCAGGAATGCAAGTCTGGTTCACTTAAAAAATCAATGTAACTCACCATTAACAGGATTAAGAAAAACAAAATCGGGACCAGTAGTTGGTGTAATGGTTATGTCGCTGGACTCCCATGTGGTCGATTGCGGTTCGCGTCCTGGACCGGGTGGCTTAAACTCACACTGGGCGCATGTGTGTGCGTGCCCAGGACCCCAAGAAGAGAATGGAGAAGGGATTGTGGCGTGACCGTTCCCAAATGGGGGTGTTTCTTGCTTTCTGTCTCTCTGTTTCTCTCTGTCTTTCTGGCAAGCGCACGTGCCCTGTAGCAAAAACCTCTCAAGAAAAAAAAAATAAAAGAAAAACAAAATCATACAATCGTTATTGCTCAGTGTAAGAAAGCATCTAACAGAACTCAACACCCATTTGTGAGAAAAATTCTCAGAAAAATAGGAATGAAGGGGTACTTTTCCAACTTGATGAAGAGCACTGACAAAAAATTTACAGCTGACATTTTACTTCAAGGTGAAAAACTGAGCACTTGAACTCTAAGATCGGGAACAGAGCAAGGAAGCCAGTTCTCACCAATCTTATTTCACGTGATGCTGCAAGTTCTAGCCACTGCACTAAGGCAAGACAAAGAAATAAAAGATGTATAGATTGGAAAGGAAGAAATAAAACTGTTCTTATTTGCAAATGACAAGGCTAAATGAATCCCAAATAACCTACAAAATACTTCTAGAACTAAGAAGTGAGTTC